CTCCCTGAAAATGAATTTTACAGATGGGTAATTGGTCACGATCTACTGGAATGAGTTCACTGTCGTTTTCACCTTTTCTCTAACTGTACAGTCTTGTTCGTTGTGCACGTTGGAGCCTGTAAGGGGAGGAGGGGCCGCGTTTGACATGGCGTCGGACGGTTGTCCACCAAACAGTTGTCGCCAGGGCACGCCATTGCGTTGTGATCATTTCCTGAAAAATACGACCCCCCCTAATTCCATCTTCAAGTACGACCCCCTCCCCATGTTACCTCTTCCCTAGATTTTTCCAACCTCCTACCACTTTGTCTATTTTTCCCCAAAAAATTTCTGGTTTTTTTACAAAATTTTGCTGTCGAGCGGGGGGGGGGGAGGTCGCAGTACCTACGTACGTCCCAAGCACGTCCACGTCCAGCACTCTGGCGCTGGTGTAGCATACTGACAATACGTACGAGGAAGGGGCGATGATAGGAGCTACGATCACCGCCCACAAGGGCACCATGAATTTATAAACAAACAAGAGGACTCACGACGTGACGATTAATAAACAGATGAAAGTACATTCCCGGACTTTTCTGATCGTAGGAGCACATGTGCTTGCACTTGGGAAGCCCTATCTAGAAGTTACACCTTTCCAAAACCTGCGTGAAAGCCCCATGCATGGCGCATTGCACAGGTGATGCCAATTGGCGCCCATTAGACCATTCTTCAATACCCTTTGCGGAAACATGTGTTTCAGAAGCATACCAAAGTCTTCAAGCCAACTGGAGGTTTCCTGGCCTCGGAGGGGTTGATTTTTCGGTGTCGTGGGGGTGAGATTACAAAATGATCACAACGGGGAATTTTTTCGAATAGTAGGTCTAGGAAGGAAATTAAAACCTTGCTGGAAAGTAGAAATCTTCAAGCTTCCGGCACAGTTCTTTTTTTACGAAAGGCCGTGTATGAAGCTTGCCATGGACGTCCAAAGCGTAGCGACTCGCGGTTCGCAAAAATGATCACAGACGGATCACAACGATGATCACAACGGGGAAAATCTCTGGAATCGGAACGTTTTTGAAATCGCTCAATTCAGGTGATAAGAGCCAACCTAGCTCTACTCATTCCCACTTACCCCTCTCCGATAGCTTCACTTTCAACGAAGTTATGGGTGTTCAAATGAGGGGTACTTTTCACGTGTTTGGCTTGAAATTGGCTCCAAACCGTAAAATAGCGCGCACCAATGCGCTTGTATGAGCGCGCTGACCGCGAACAGCCAAAATTCAAAAGTAATCCATAGTTCCGGTTCCCAGCTGGCCTGGTGAGTTTTTTTCTTATCCATTTGATTGTGAATTATTTTGATTGTTTGTTTTTGTTAAGTTTGATTTTGTTTTGTTGAGTTTTGTTGTGAGGAAATTGCTCAGAATTCAGTTTCTACGGGAGGGTTGGTGGGCGAAGTGTCTAAAAGTTTTTTTGTGAGGAAGGAGGAAAAAGTTTCAGCAATATTTTTTTAGTTCTTGGCCTAGGAATAGTTCGATAGTGCCTAGTTCTATTTATTGTCATCTACATCGTCCCTTTTGAGCTTCTTTTCACTTGTACCGTGTATCACCGCTCTCTCCACTTCAACATGGGCCATGCGTTTACGACCCCCCCATCGCGGGCAAATACGACCCCCCCGTTGTGATGATCACAAAGATGGCGTGCCCTGGTTGTCGCTCACCCGCTTGAACGATTGTGCTGGTGCCGCGGCAAACCCAACCACTCCCCCTTCCCCCTGACAGCCCTAGCATCCGCAACAAATAAGACTGTAAAAAGTTCATTGCTCATCCCTGTATCACACACCTCAAGAGAGGATTGATCTTCGTCACGCTGAAGCATCAGATCGCCCATTAATGTCAAGCTGCCTGTCAAATGAAAGCCATATTAAGTGGCTATGAAATGAATGTGTGAAAAGTGAAATGACTACTCTGAACCTGCTCTTGTCTAGTGAGGGAATCTGTAGGGAGGAAAAAAATCGGAATGTTGTAAATGTGTATTTAATATTTGTAAATTGTTTTAATTTCCTTAAAATTCAATTTGTTTCATTTGGATTCATTGGAGGAATCCTCAGCAATGCACAGAGACTTTTCTCTAACACGACCGAAATTTGTACGAGAACCACAGTATGCGCCGTTTTGAATGGCGCGATATGGCGCAAAGGCAGATCTCGCCGTCGACAAGCTCCTCCTTGAATGTTCGAATCCTTCGAATCGCCAATGAAGAATTAATCGCGTGTCAGCTGAAGCCCCCTGATTAGAGCTATTCAAGGCCATTGACTGAGGCTCCTTTTCCGGTATCGAGGGTACTCTATAAATCTCATCATGCTGCTTATAGCTATTGGTTTGACCGAAAAGCCCATTTGAGGGCAGATAGATTACAAACGAGAACTCTCAACAGTGAGAAACCTATTGTCTTGCTGGGTAGTACACTCTCCTCTTTATTTACTAAGGGCTCTCGGGTCTGATGCATATTCATTATCCTCATCTGATAGAAAGTCCCAGAATTAGAATCTGCAGGTGTTATTTGCAGCCATTAGGAGAGTTGCATTATTTTTCGATCAAGGTGCTTTCCAAAGGTTGCAGCAAATGTATATTCTCGTGGTACCAAATCCAATCTTTGGGGGAGTGGGATGTGAAAAAAAAAGATTCGGCGAACACCAGTAGTTTCTGCCGAATGGATTGAAGTTGAAGTGGTCCACATTATCTTGATGACAGACACAGTTGTCTTTTGATTGATTCTGCTCAACTGCTTCCTTGGGGGTAGTATTCCGTTGAGTACGATACTTTTCAGATCTGACAGTATACTTGTGCCCTATTATGAACAATCTTTCCAGTACCACAATCAGTGATCAGTGAAGTATTACTCCCTGAACATGAATTTTACAGATGGGTAATTGGTCACGACGATCTACTGGAACAAGTTCACTGTCGTTTTCGCCTTTTCTCTAACTGTACAGTCTTGTTCGTTGTGCACGTTGGAGCCTGTAAGTGAAGGAGGGGCCGGGTTTGGCATGGCGTCGGACCGTTGTCCACCAAACAGTTGTCGCTCACCCGCTCCAACAATTGTGCTGGTGCCGCGGCAAACCCAGCCACTCCCCCTTCCCCCTGACAGCCCTAGCATCCGCAACAAATAAGACTGTAAAAAGTTCATTGCTCATCCCTGTATCACACACCTCAAAGAGGATTGATCTTCGTCACGCTGAAGCATCAGATCGCCCATTAATGTCAAGCTGCCTGTCAAATGAAAGCCTATCAAGAGGCTATGAAATGAAATGTGTGAAAAGTGAAATGACTACTCTGAGACTGCTCTTGTCTAGTGAGGGATCATTTGTGGTTTTGTAGGGAGGAAAGTTCTCATCTGATCATCTTCATTCGTGATAGTTCTATCGAAGTGTGATCGTTTCAGAAATTCAAGTTCATCCTGTCAAAAAGAAAAAGTACTCACGGCTCGTTCAGTTACAATATTGGTGTGTGCGGGAGTGTAGACGGCCGGTGGAGAAGACGAGATGAGAGAAGAGAAGTGGAGTGAATTTATTGTGCAGACCGCCCCTTTATAAGGCAATCACAACAATCACATATCACTATATTTGTTGGTGATCATAATCTTCTCTGGAATAACACGGTCGGTTCGGTAAGATTCATAGAGAGAGATTCTCTATAATTGTCTACCTGAACAACACATGTAATTTTTCGGAAATTGAGCTGCATTTCTGCCCTGTCTCAGCTACTCGGCCGAGAAGGTGCGGCATCTGTGCACACTCCTGCCAGGCGCTGCTACGGATGCCTTTATGTTAAGCGGTACAAGGAGCTATTTCTTACTATCTCCTTTATAAAACCTGTCCTGTTGAGAATGTTGGTGGAAAACATATAATGAACAAGAATAATCAAAAACTGTTCATTGCACATTGATGTAATGATGGGCCAATCAACCACAAATCCTATCCGCAGCCTCAACATGGCATGGAGGTTGTCGTGGTTCAGAGGCAGTCGCCCTTCTTACCCCTCCAACACGATGCATCGAGTTGGTTCAAAGCCCCGTGAGTCCCGAGTCCAGGAACTCACGTCATCCTAGTTGCGATGAGACGACACACTGGGAGAGGAATGATTTATTAGACCAGAACAACCCTTTTATGCATTCACAAATCATTATCATCCTCTCATCCAATCATCCTCACTCTCCATTCTCACATTCCACACCGCTCCCCTACACCTCCCCCAGTGACCATCCGGTCACTCCAGTTCCTGGGGAGCGGCCCTCCACTCTACAACAGTGGACCACGGGCATTACAACCCACTATGTGTTGTCTTGCTTCAGTAAACACTACCAACACAACTCTTTATTAAATCATTATAGCTCTTCATTGCCGCCGTCCCTCTTACGGTGGAGGGCGACTCGGGCCTCCCAGCCCGGCTTCTACTTCTACTTCGAGTTTTGCTTCGTGGCCAACCGCGAGCTCGTCCTCTTCGGGAACCATCCCTACTCCTGCTCCGGCTTCTTCTTCTCGGTTGACCTCGGCCCGGGCTTCTCGATCGGTCACGGCTCCGACTGTTCCATCGGCGGTGCCACTGCACCTCCCGCTGTAGACTTCTTACCGCCGTCCACAGCTTTACTGCGCTGCGGACGGCGCCTTCTTCCTCGTGACGGTGGGGCTGGAGCTCCCGGCTGCACGGGCATTGCAGCCATCACGGGGACTCTCCCGCCCAGTTCGGCAGCGCCATCTGGAGGCCGGCGGGCGAGATACAGGAGAGGGGGTTCAACAGCAGGCTTGTCTCGTCCCCCCCTGCTGCCGCGGGCTTGGAAGAGCAAACATAACTGAAGGACCACACTCATCCATCCTTCTTTTATAAGGCACCGCGGTGATAACTTTTGTTTTTGTTTTCGTCTTCATTCACTATCATCCTTATGCAGTTTATTTTCCTACGCTTTTCATTTTCCTGGAACTCTTTCATTCTAGCGGTAGCCTGCCGCTTCCTTTGAGAACGACGCGGCGGTATCGTTTCGGTAGGTTCTCTAGCTTGTACACGAGCTCTCCGGTCCCTTTTCTCTAACCATCCCTCATCTACTAACTCCCACGGAATCACTCTTTCTTTCCTCTGATCCGCGTGGGTTTTTCTTACTCGCCGAAATGAACTTCATAAGTATCTGAGCATACTGACTACAATTTCAGGTCGGTGCCCTGACCCGGTCTAGTTCCTGATGAATACTTCTTGTCCCACACTAAACTTCCTTTCCTTTTTCCCCTCGATCATAATTCTTCTTCATATTTTCCCTATACTATTTGAGGACTCGATATTTCCTGCCCTTATTGTATCTGAAGTCGTCCTCAAACTCCTCCATCAGCATTTCTGTGGGTGCCTCTCCCGTCGCTGCGTGGGGTGTAACCCTGTATTCGAACAGAAGATCCAATACCGCATTCTCCAGGCTTTTGTTGGATCGTAACCCTTTATACAGGGTGTTTTTGAAAGTTTGCACGAAACGCTCAGCTTCTCCATTTGAATTAGGATGGTACGGCGGTGCGAATATCTGCTGAATACCTCTTTTACAGCAGTATTCACGAAATTCCGCCGAAGTAAAAGGGGGTCCGTTGTCGGAAACCAACTGCTCCGGCAACCCATTCCTGCTGAAAACCTCCTTCAGCACCATTATCGTTTTCTCGGCTGTGGTGGTGCCCATTTTGGCCACCTCCGGCCACTTGGACTTAGCATCCACCAGGATCAGCCATTTTATCCCCCCTTTTGTCTCACAAAAATCAATGTGTAGTCCTTTGCCAGACTTCTTTCGGCTCCTCCCATGGGTGTAGAGGTGTCCTTCACCGGATCTCTACCCATCACTGCACATGTGCTGCATTTCTTTGCCATTTCTTCCACCGCTCCTATCCATGCCCTGGGAACCATATCTTGGTTCGTGCCAGGCTAATCATCCTATTCTTCCCATAGTGGCTATTATGCAGCATTTTTAACACTACTGACTGAAACTTCTTGGGGATAACCACCCTATTTCCCCATAATAACACCCATTATGCAGTGACAGAGCCGTCCTCTTGACCGCGTACGGCTTCAGTC